TGTTGATATGATAAATGATATCTTATTTTAAATTTTTATTTTTGAATAGATATTACAACTTACATTGGATTGTTGGCCATTTTGTTACTGATTTCTAAAACCTCTTTATAATTTAGGGAAATTAGTTACAAACTATTTTTCCAATCTGTCATTTTTTTCTTTGCTTATTTTGTTCCCCTCATGATCTTTCTCATCCCTAGTCTACAAAGTAAGTTTCCATGGTTTCTTCTAGCATGTTTATGCTTAAGGTTTTTAATAAAACTTTAAAATTTCTGACCCATTTGGAATTTATGCTGGTGTAAGATAGGACATCTGAATCCAACTTTTCTTTTTTCTCAGATAGTTCAATGATTATCCCCAAATTATTTACTGGACAGTCTACCTGACTTGTTTGATAATAAATTATATAATATAATACATTCTCTTCATTATATAATAAATTCTCTTCTGTATTTGGATATATGCCTGAATTTTCCATTCTATTACATTTGACTATCTTTTTATACCTATCCTGTTTTAATTGATGTATTTCTAATATACCTTAATATCTAGCAGTGCTAGCCTTTTTTTTCACTGTGCTTACTTTTCAGAGTTTTTGTGGTTATGTAAGTTTATTTTTCCACATGTACGATAGGATCAACTTGTCAAAAATAAAAAAGCCTCAACAAAAAATTTTTGGTATTTTTGTTGGGATAATATGAAATGTTTAAATTAACTTAAGGAAAATAGACATTTTACTTGACATCTTCTTATCCAAAACCTGGTAGGTTTTTCTATTTGTATAAATCTTTTGTGTGCTTTGACAATGTTTTAAAGTTTTCTTTATATAGCTCTTACATATTTATTATTAGTTTATTACAAGATATTTTATCTTTTTGTGTTGCTACTGTGAGTTAGGTTTTTTCTATTATATCTTCTTTCTTCTTCTTATTGGTAATATACAGCTTTTTATAGTTTCTAAATTAATTCTCTTGGGGTTTCTAAATATTCAATAATATTGTTGTAAAAGTAAGTTTACTCCCTTCTTTTCAATTTATCACTGATTTATTTCTTTTGTTTAATTGTATTGTCTGTATTGCTAAATTCTTGTCTTGATGACTTCAATAATGCATTAGTGTTCCACTGCTATCTAAAAAATTACCTCAAACTTGGCAGCTTCAAACAACATGCACACATCTATCAGCTCAGTTTCCATGTATCAGGAGCCAGGGCATGACTGAGCTAGGTGCTCTGCTCAGAACTTCATAAGGCTGCAACTAATGTGCTGGCTAGGTGGTGTTCCTTTCTAAAGCTCACAGTCCTTTAATAAGCTCAAGTGGTTGTTGGCAGAATTCAATTCCTTGTAGTTTAAGGACTGAAGTCCCCATTTTCTGTCTGGCTATCAGCCAAGGGCTATTCTCATGTCCTAAAGGCTTCTCATAGTTCCTTGCCCTGTGGCCCTCTCAGAACATGATGGCTTATTTCTTCAAGGACAACAGAAAAATCTCTCAGGGAAAGCTTGAATCCTCTTTTAAAGGATTTGCCAGATTAGGTCAGGCTCACTCAGGATAATCTCCCTTTTCATTAAATCAAATTTAACTGATTAGGGATCTTAATTATATCTATAAATCTCATTTTCCCTGACCATATTCATTGGTTAGAAGCAAGTCACAGGTTTTACTCACACCAGAGGTGGGAGAGGGGGAGATTAAACAATAGTGGGTGGCCGGGTGCAGTGGCTCATGCCTGTAATCCTAGCACTCTGGGAGGCCGAGGGGGGCGGATTGCTCAAGGTCAGGAGTTCAAAACCAGCATGAGCAAGAGGAGACCCCATCTCTACTATAAATAGAAAGAAATTAATTGGCCAACTAATATATATAGAAAAAATTAGCTGGGCATGGTGGCACATGCCTGTAGTCCCAGCTACTTGGGAGGCTGAGGCAGAAGGATTGCTTGAGCCCAGGAGTTTGAGGTTGCTGTGAGCTAGGCTGATGCCACGGCACTCACTCTAGCTTGGGCAACAAAGTGATACTCTGTCTCAAAAAAAAAAAAACCAAAAAAACCAATAGTGTGGATACCAGGGGGTGGAAATCATGGAGGCCGTTTTAGAATTCTGCCTACTAGTAATGCTAATATTTCCAGAGTTTCCCCATCAACATGATACTTACTATTTAGTGTCCATCTATTTATTGACTTAAAATTAAGAATAGGTGTTGAATTGTATGAAATTCCTTTTCAATGTCTACAGAAATAATCATGATTTTTCACATCTATTCATTTACTAATATTGAAACTTTCTTGCATTTCTAGGATGAACAGCACTTGTTTTTTATTCATTAAATATTCTGCTGTATTCTGGTTGATAACATTTTTTAACAATTTTTACATCAATATTCTTAAGTATGTGGTTTGGCTTTTCTTTTCCTATGTAATGCTGGCAGGTTTTATAATCCATGTTATGCTGGTTGCCTTAACAAAATGGAAAAGTTTTTCTTCTTTTTCAAAACTCCTGAATAATTTAAAAATCATTAGAATTTTTTTGTTCCTTAAAGAGTTGGTAGATTTCTTTATGAAGCTGTCCTTGTTTTGAATGCAGCTCTTTGATATTTTTCTAAATTTTTTATGAAAATTAGCATATTTAGATTTTCTGAATACAGTCAGCCCTCTATATTCATGGGTATAACATCTATGGATTCAACAACCACGGATCAAAAATATTAGGAAAAGAATTGCATCTGTACTGAACATGTACAGACTTTTTCTCTTGTCATTAATTCCTAAACAATACAGTATAACAGCTATTTACATAGCATTTACATTTATTAGGTGTTATAAATAACTAGAGATGATTTAAAGTATATAGGAGGATGTGCATAGGTTATATGCAAATACAACACCATTTTATATCAGGAACTTGAGCATCAGTGGATTTTGGTACCCACAGGAGGTCCTAGAACTAATCACCCATGCATGCCAAAGGAGGACTGTATACATCTTTTACAACTGTGTTCAGGAAGAGAGGGACTCATAATTTTGTCAGCTTGGCTTTCATTTTCCTTTTTCTGGCAAGACCAGGAAACCCCTATTGACTAAAGGATTATACTCAAACTCTTTCAAATAATCTTATTATCTTTCTGGTTTTATCTTTTAACACTATCTTCCTCAATCTCTGTACTTCAACAACAATGCACTGCTTATATTTCCTGGCCCTCTCCTTATCTGTTTCATACTTCCATGCCTTTTACTATTCTACTTGCCCCCTTTACCTTTGCCATGTAGCTGTATTTTATCCTTTAAGACTCATACCAGGCAGCTTCTTTTTTGGAAGCCTCCCTTCTTATTAAGATTTGGATTAGCTATCCCTCCTCTACTCTTTTGATATACTGATTTATAATGATATATGTCTATCTCCTCCATTAGAATGTGAGATCTATGAGGTCAAAGACAGTGTCTTCTTATAGTCCTAGTATATTTCACAGTTCATTGTGCATGATAGGTGCTCAATAAATGATTTTTGAATGAGTGAAAGTATGAATGTGAAGAGGGCTAAGATGAAATGGGTAGTTAACTTCAAGTAATTGGAGAGTTTTCATAAGGAAGAGACTTATTCTCTTTACTACATAAGGTGGTACTAGGATCAATAAGTGAAAGTTATTAGGAGGCAGATTTAAGTTTAATATGAATAAGAATTTCTTCACATTCAGAGTTGTTCAGTGATAGACAACTACCACATGAAGCACTGACTTTTTTTGCACTAGAAGAATTTAAAGCAGAATCTGAACATCTTTTAGGAAGCTATAAAAATATTGTGGCATCGAATTTTCAAGTAATTTTCAAGCTATAATCCTTAGAGCCCTATGAGTTCCAAAGGGACACTTCAAGATTATGAGTAGGGTGAGGGAAAGTGAAAGAATAGAAGATCCAATCAAATGAAACTCTGAGTCTCCTACTTTTCCTATATAATGACAATAGTTCTGCTGTTTTGTTTCGGTATACTGGGTTTTTAACTACAATTATGGTTGGAAGAAAGATTCCACAGCTGTTAAAAAACATTTGAAAACCACTTGTTTGGCCATTTCACATCTAAATTATATATAATTTAGAGTGTATATATAGAATATATATACATATAACCAGGAGGAGATACATAGATAAATCTATTAATATATCTATCTCTAGAGAGATATATAAATATAGATATAGGTAGATATCTCTATATCTATCCATCTTTTTATATATCTATATCTAAGCTGTGTGAGGAGATATATAGATATATCTATATCTATTTCTGTCTCTAGAAGTATGTATATATAGAGAGATATGTCTCTTATTATATCTATTTATCTATATCTATATATAACCCGTGTGAGAAAATATATAATTATATACATAAATGTGTATTTCTATATGGGTATATCTCTTCACACAGTGCCTTGCTCATAAGTCACAGATGCTCAATAAATGTGTCTGATCTCTGTTTTGTTCTTTTGCCCTTTTGTCTCCTCAAAATCACTTGAAGAATCTTAACTCTTGTTATTTAGATGACTTGTTTCTTCAGGTTTCCTATGCGCTCCATCAGCGTAGGCACTACACACTTTTCTTCTTTGTAGCTACCATAGCACCATAACATTGTATTTCCCCAATAAACATTTGAACATGTAAAAAAATAGGGATCATTTCTAGTTTTCCTGGGTAAGTAGCTATATTGGGAATAGAATGGGTTGAAATTATACTACATGATCCTATTTTGGTCTAGATTTTTGATACAGATTTCTTTTGAACACTTTTTTTTCTGCTGAAATAAAGATATTGGAACCATGGGCTCTTCTTCATCTCAGGGCTATATTTCTTCCTAATACTTTGGTGCTTACTGTCCCCTAGCTTTGTATATAAAGCTGACAAACATTCTAAAACAAAAAAAGATTCCCTTAACTGACTAGGGGTGAAATGTACAACCCCTAAATCTCAAGCCATATAAGATATATCCGCACACTAGATTCCCAGATTAATGATAAGTTTACCTCTAGCCTTTCATTATAAAAGTCTCTTGTGGTATAATTTAATGTAGCACGATTTGTGTTTTCTCCTATAAGTCTTTTACTATCGTTATTTTCTTCATTGACAATACCAGGTTTTTTTCCTTTGGTTTCTAGCAGATACCGGAACTGCTTTTTCCTGTAGAAAGACAGTGTAGAGATTTAGAATGTTACTTACCAGACTTATTAAAACATATCTATTTTTGTTGACTTTAGAGGGGAGCACATGCTTTTTTGAACATCTGTTTTGTGAGTTTGAGTTTATTATTTATTTGACCTCAGTTTGGTACTCTAATCTTTCTACTAATTAGGCTACTGAACCCAAATTCTTCTGTTCCATAACAACCAATCATCAACATAAACATGTCTCAAGCATTTCTAAAATGAAAAAAAACTTCACCTTAATAAAAATCAATACAAAAATTACACAATCACAGAGCATAAAAAAACCCAATTAAGGATATAGTATGGCAAACTTTCAAAGTCTTCATATCCCATAAAACATGTTAGTTACCTCTCGTAAATCACACAAATAGTTTATAATTCCTCAGTAGTATTACTCATAGCTAGAAAAATGGAATGGGATACTGGTTTAAGTTTAGGCAAAAACAAAACAAGTGGAAACCAAAAAACCTCCAACTGTTAGCATATCATGGCAAGATATGGAGGTTAAATAATGAAACAAGAAGCCGTATTTGATTACGAAGAGGGACGTACATAGTGCTCACAGTAGCACTTACAGAGCCATCAGCCCAGAATTCCAGAGGACTGCAACTCATCCTCCATGACAGTTGATTTCTGATTTCCACCACTTAGGGTGTCTCTAAATGAAGTGATACTACTACTTTACTGTGAACAAGATTGGGATATATCTTTTTTAAATTTCTTCTTTTTTCATTTAAAAGTATAACATAATTATTTTAGGAATTTGGGGAAGTATACATTTGAAAAGTATGAATAAATAGATAAAAATCACTCATAAGTCATAAATCTAAATCTATTACCTTGTTCACATTCAACATACTTCTTTGTAGGCTTTTTCCATACATTTTTGTAAAAAGTTAAGATCATACTAAACATCCAATTTTGTGTACTATTTTCACCTAATGCTATATAACAAGCATTTTCTCTATCATTAAAAATGATCATTTTAATAAATGAATAAAAGTCATTTGTGATAGAGATCACAATTTACCTAATTGTCCTTTTTAGTGGATACTTTTAGGTAGTATAACTTTCTCATTTTCATAAAGAAAATAAATGCTGATAAAGATCTATTCCTGAATCTAATGTTTTAATTATAAAAACAATGCCCACATACATTTTTCTATCACTTTTATTAGTCATTTCACAAATCAACTTTCCAGTAATCCTGTCTTTAACATCATTATTTCTTTTCTTTAACTTTCTTCAGGGTTATTTTGCTGTTCTTTTTCTAGTTTGGTGAGATAAATGTTTTTCTCATTCATTTTCAGCCTTTATTTTTTCCTAATATGCTCATTTCAAGGCTAGCATGTTTACATTTAGCACCACTTTAACCTAATCCCACAAGTTTTGAAATGTGGTATTTTTACTATATTTCAGTTCAAGGTAGTTTCAGATTTCCATTACAAATTGTCTTTGACCTATGGGTTATATAGAAATGTGTTTCTTAATTTCCAAATATATGGGGATTTCCTGGTTATCATTTGTAATTGGGTTAAAGCTTAATTGCATTTTGAACAGAGAACACAGTCCATGTGATTTCAATTCTTGGCAATCTGTTGACATTTGCCTTATGGATAAATATTTGGTTAATTTTTATAAATGTTCCATGTATGCTTTAAAAGAATGTGTGTTCCGCAGTTGCTGGGGAGAATATTCTGTCACTGTCCATTAGGTCAAATCTGTGATCATATTGTTCAAGTATTTTATATCCTTTTTATAATATTTACTCACAGATGTATTAAAGCTTCCCACTAAAACTGTGGATTTGTAGTTCTGGAATTTTGGGGTTATAAATTTTTAAAGTTGTGCTAATAGGTGCATACAAATTTAAATTTGATATGTCTTTCTGGCAAACTGAACCTATTATCAATTTGAAATGATCTGCTTTATTTCTAGTATTACTTTGAACTTTGAAGTCTATTTAGTCCTCAATGGTTACTCTGTTGTTACTGTGGATAGTATTTATGTTGTTTATCTTTTCTCACTTTTCTGCATTCCAACTTTATATCAACTTATGTTTCAGATGTGTCTGTTGTAAACAACATATAGTTGAACTTCATCTTTTTATTCAGTCTGACAATCTATGGCTTTTAATCAGAAAAATTAGTATATTTGCATCTGTATCACTGAGGTGGATTGATTACATTAGTGGCTATATTATGGCTTCCTTGAATCCATGCCCCTTACAATGTGATTTTACAGCTATGTAAAGCCTACTTCGAGGCCCCTGAAATGTTGCTCTGTGACTCGCTTTGACCAATACAACATAGGCAAAATGATGGGAAGTCGGTTCTTAGCATAAAACTCAATCCTCAAAATATTTATGGAGAAAGTTTTATTTTTTTATTTTACCCAGCATTTTTAGTTGTTTTTAACACAAGAGATAGTCAATATAGCCAAACTCAGCATTTTCAGAAACAGAAGTTCAATATATTCCCAATTTTGTACAGATGAAGAGTAAAACTTGAAAGCCACTCTTTTCAAACTATATCGGCACAAAGCAAAACTTGAAAACCACTCTTCAACCACTCCATCACCACTCCTAGTATCTATATCTTCCAGGTGTTCATGCTTTCAGTTCCCTTCCTATATCTCTATATTTATATGTCTACATATTTATTTTGTTTTTTATAATATTGAGTCATAACATAAATATTATTTTATGCCTTATTTCATTCAATTAAATATATTTTTCTAGATCATTTCATGTCAGAACAGGAGATTTATCTCAATCTTTTCCCCCTCCTCCTTTTATAGCCATGTAATGACTGTAATATAGATTGTATCACATGGCTACTATACCCATAATGGAGAAATATCATGATATACTTAGCTTTCCCTATTATTAGGCATTTGGTTACTTTCCAAAGTCATGCAACTACAAACAATCAAGCATGGCAGCTTTGTATGTAAATCGTCTGTGTGTACTCTTGTCCATGGATTTACTGGTATTTTATAGTTTCTTTGCCTCTGTAAATGGATACTCTTTCTAATACTATTTTCAATAGTTTATTATTGCTATGAGGAAAACTGTTAATTATTTTTATATCAATATGTTCATCTAGGAAAGAAAAAAATATGTTGATCTAGTATCTGGCGTCATTATTGTATATTCTGATTAATTCTAAAAGTTTACAAGTTGAGTTCTTGTATTTTCTGGAGATTCAATTTTTGCTTTTACTAGTCAACTACTATCTTTTCAATTTCTTTTTTTTTTTTAAGTTGCTGTTATCTTTACAAATTTCTTTTCCCAATTTTCTTTTGCTTCACTTGGTGTCTTTATAGTTCCTGAAGTAAAACCTTTATTCATTACTTTATAATCGTTTTTATTTTCAAGTAAGTACATTAAAGATACGTAATTTCCTCTGAGTACAGTTTTGGCCATGTCCCAGAGGTTCTGACATACAGTATTCTTGCTGTCAAATTCATTTATATATGATTTATTATTTCAGCTTTAATTTCCTCTTTAATTTAAAAGAGTTAAAGTATTTTTAAAAATATCCTTTTTAAAAAAGGAATATAGGCTGGGTGTTGGGGCTCATGCCTATAATCCTAGCACTTTAGGAGGCAGAGGCTGGAGGATTGCTTGAGCAACATATGGAGACCTTGTCTCTGCCAAAAATAAAAAAATTGCTGGGCATGATGGCATGTGCTTGTAGTCCCAGCTACTCAGGAGGCTGAGGCAGGAAGATCAGTTGAGCCCAGGAATTTGAGGTTGCAGTGAGTATGATGACACCACTGCATTAAAGCCTGGGAAACAGAGCAAGGACCTGTCTCAAAAAACAAAAAAGAAACCAAAACCCAAAAAACCCAAAACAAACAAACAAACAAAAAAAAACGAGACTGAACAAAAAACCAAAAAGATAATTCAAGAAGTTCATATAAGCATACGGTAAAAAGTAAGCATCTACACACCCTCCCATTCCAACAAGATAAGTTTTTGCTACCCTAATTCATTTTTATAATTTTATGATATGATTTATATGAGTATGCTTTTTGAGATACATAGAAATTTTCTTTGAGTTTAATGTATGTTCAAGTTTTGCAGATATTTCATAGATTTTTGAATAGAAAATGTGTTATTTTCTGAATTGTGCATAAAGTTCTGGAAATAATATTTTAAATACATTTAATTGATAAAGTGTGTTAACTGTGTTATTCAAATCCTCCATATTATTTCTTATTTTGATTTATTTAATCTGAGTTATGAGAGAAGTATATTAATATCTACTACAATAACTGAATTTGTCAATGTATACCTGTATTTGTTAGGATGTTTAGAAGCTATAATCTTGATTACACTGTTTCATAACTATTATCTTTTTGGGTAGCTTGCAGTTTTTAGTGTCATCAATTCTATTATCTCTAATATTAATATTCTCATATTTGTTGTTGGCATTTGCTCATTATATATTTTAATTGCTTTATTTTCAACCTGTAGAAATTTCTTTAGGGATATTTCTCAAAAATAACAGGTAACTCAATTTTGAACCCATTCTGAAAGGTACTATCTATTAATAGGAGAATTTAATTCATTAACATTTATTATGATAACCCATATGCTTTTCTTTTTTCTTCTCTTTTTGCTTTTTGCTACTCATTTTTTTGTTCTTTTAGTAATTTGGAATTATAATCTTTTTGTAATGGCAATCCTTAAAATTTTAATACACACAGTCAACCATGTATTTTTCCATCAATTTTTATTGTTAATTAGTACCTATTATCTCTCCTAAACAGGGAAAGAAATTTAGCAAACTAACTTCTGTTCTCTTAGGATTTTCTGAGATTTCTATTTCAAATTACTTATTTTTTTTTGTATTATGTATTAATACTTACCAGAAAACTATAATTTTTACTAATTTATTTCCACATCATCATCTCTTGAATTCAGTGCCTCTCTCAGTATTTTTTTTTCAAAGCAGTTTGTGAGTTCTAGATGGGATTTAGATTCCATGAATTAGAAACACTTGGGTAAGATCTGAATTCAGAACTGAGCTAAGGGCAGTAGTAAGAATACCACACAAGACACCCATTTTGTTGGTGTAAAGTATAGCAGGCCCTGGAGCCAGGTTCTGAGGAATGGAGTAGGGAATTTCCTGATCTCCCGTGTGATTAAAGTGGCATGATACTGGGGCTCATGGCTAGGACAACAGCCTCCTTATTGTCCATGACTGTAGCAAAAGTGGCAGTTTCCTTGTGGGTTTGTTCTGTAGCAAAGTGCTTTATGACTATAGCAAAGGTAGCAGTTTCCTTGGTGGGTTTCTTCTGTGGTATCATTCTGGAAGTTATCATTGGAGGCTCAGTCTAGAGACTGCTTCCTTAAACCTTCCAAAAATTTCGTAGATATCTAAAACCTTGCTTACTCTAACCAGAGTGACTTCTATTATCTATAACTGAATGTGGCTGATATACCATCCTTGACTCCCTCTATCTATACTGTATCCTGTCAGTTAGTATGTTCTCAGGTATACCTTCTAAATGTTTTTCATATTATTCTCTCCTTTATTCTCACTGCCTTAGTTCAGGACCTCATAATCTCTCTCCTGGACTCACCACTTGATTGGTCAGTCTTTCAATCTCTCTCTGCTCAAATGGCAGCCTTTCTAGAACATAAATCCAATCACATGATTGTTGTGCTTAATTACAACACACAATTTTTTATTTTTGTTTGACATGGATTGCAAAGCTCTTCAAAATCATACAACAATCTTTCTGGCTTAATTTCCTATCACTTATTCATAATCATCCCATGCTCCAGTTATACTGAATTATTTATAATTCCGTGTGCTTCTGCAGATCTATTTACCTCATATCTTCTACCTGAAAAATTCCTACTCATTCCTGAAGAACTAGATAAAATGTTACCTCTTTTGTGAAGCCTTCTTCAATGTTCTTTCAAAATGCAGTTAGTCTCTCCTATGCTTCTATAGCCCTCTCTTATAGCACCTGAAATACTGTGCTTTAATTGCTTATATATATCTTGAACTTATTAGATGATAAGCCACAGACTTATTAGATTATAATTTATTAGATTATAAGCCAAAGACTTTGTCTTATTTGCTTTTATATCCTCAACACTTTGAATAGTGCCAATCACTAAATACAAATAGGATACATGTTTGTTGAATTCATAAATGACACAGTTAAGACGTATATGGGATTGATTTCTTTTGTTAGTGCAAAAGTAATTCTATAAGATCTATATAAATTAAAGTTTACCTGGCATCACCCAGAATTGAAATCAGACGGTACTGGGGTAACTCAGAAGATGCTACATGTGCTAGGATTCCAAAGAGCCTTTCAGCCATTATCATATCATTCTGCGTCACCTGAAGAGATACAATGGAGAGGGGTCAAAACTGACACCATCTGTTAGCTGGATACAACTAATATAAACCCAAAGGAATGTCTAGATTAAATCTTATCTTTTAAACCCAAAAAAGTACATTCTACTGGGCTGTAAAGAAAACAGTTATCACTGATATTTCTCTTCTTTGAAGTAAAATGAAGATGTATAAATGTGACTGATGTTGATGGAAGCTGACTGGGGATGACGAGCTAGTGCTGACTTAGAAAGATGTGTTTCCTGAGAATTATGTTTTAAGTACTTTAGATTCTTAATGATTTTTTTTCAGAAATCCTATAGCTTTTTGGATTAGAATTATTTAGAGAGAAAAATTCCCAAGTGTCAATGGGATAGATTCATTTCAGTCAGGTGTCAAAGGCAAGCCAAATTATTGTTCATACCTTGCTCCTATAATATAAGGATAATTGGTCCCTTTCTGAGAGATGGAACTCTCATAGGATTAGCGAGGATACTCCTGTACATTCTACTTATATCAGCCTTTCTCCCCATAAAGAATAATTTGTCACAAGTATACACTGTGAGGGCTATCCCAAGAAAGTACTAAAAGCTGAAAGTAGGTCTTACATTAATATCTAGGCATATCTTCTTTAATATAAAACAGGATTGATTGCATTTTAAATATTGTTGGTTTGTCTATTTAATCCAATGATTCCCAACCAGGGGTCATTTTGCCCCTTAAGAAACACTTTGCAATGTCTGGAGACATGTTTGGTTACCACAATTGGTGGAGGGGTACTACTGGAATCTAGTGGATAGAGACCAGGACTACTGCTGAACATCTTACAGCACAGGACAGCCCCTTCAACAAAGAATTATCTGGCCCAAAATGTCAATGGAGCCAAGGTTGAAAAACTCTGGTATAGTTAAATTTTGGATCTTCAAAAAATTTATTCTTAACACTAGCTGTAATATACTTTACAGGCATTTTCTGGGAAAAAAAAAAAGCCCCAAAATTCACAAACATCTTATACATATGAATCAGTGCAGACAGAATTTCTTCCCTCCCCTGGACCTTCATAGTTAACAAGGGTTCTGCTCCCTCAAATCCTTCCTTTAGCTGAAAACTAAGTTGTTTGGTCCAATATAGTCACCTAGTGGCCAATGTAGGCCACTACTCCATCTTTTCTACTTGATGCTCATAATTCAATTTGATTCTATTTCAAGCAATATCATTATCTCTTTTACAAAGAGATGTAGAAATGTAGTGTAATATTAGTCTATATTGTCAAGGATTTTATAAGTAGGAATGTATTTTAGGTATTTTAGTAAAGTGTCAAATATCCCTGACAGTGACATTTTCAGAAATTCAAGTCAGAAAAAAATATATTGATTCTTTCCAATTCTGCTCTACTTTATATAATTATATTATTCCTTCCTAATTCAAAGTTCTGTAATAATGGGTATCTTTTGGTAATGATTCATATCTGTGTATATATACTATTTAAGGTTAATTGGGATAACAATTTGGCCATTAGTAAGGGAGAATCACCCACCCATAGTCCAAATAACCATTCTATATCCAGTCAAGGCTAACTTTGGAAACCTTTGGGACTATTAGGCCTTACAAGGGACTTAAGCTCTATCCTCTGGGGAAGTACCAAAGGGTACACAAAAGGACACAAGACTAAACCATATCTCTTGAGAACTAGCTGGAGAAATTAAAAGTCATCTGAAGATTTTAGATTTGCCCAATATCTTCAACAGATGGCCAATATTGTGGTCATGGCAACATCATGGCTGCTTGCGTACACCAATCCAGATGGCCAATATTGTGGTCATGGAAACATCATGGCTGCTTGTACACCAATTCAGAGACCTCCAGTCTCCTAAAAGTATGAAGAATTCTTGGAATTGTAGGCCAGAGGTACCTACCTATAGTGTATCAGCTGTAGGGAAATATAGCTACTGTGCCAGCAAAGCTGATTACAGTTCATCTTACAATAAGGAGGTATTCTGAATTTTAAAGATTTTTTTCCTTTGGAGGATTATTTAAATTCAGTAGAGGTAGAAGCATAGTTTTTCTCTTTTCTCCAAATTAATATTTAAAGAGAACATGGGTTTTGAGTAGCTGGGAGATTACCCTTATGACGAACTTAGCAGAATCAATCTAAAAATAACTTTTCACTAATAATTTTACAGTTCTTCAGCTCCAGGCCAGTGTTATCCAATGTAGTCATGGTACAGACAGCTGTTACCAACTCGTAACAAAGCAGTCCCAGTGTTGATTTAGGCTTGTTTTTCTTTTCTTTTTCTTTTATTCTTCCTTTCTCTTCTTTTCCCTTTCTTTCTTATCTCTCCTTCTCATCTCTCCTTTTTTTTAAAAGTCACTCTTCTTTCCCTTTACACATTCTGGTTTTTTTCTTTTTTCATTTTATTCTTTCCTTCCTCTATCATGACCCTTATAAGTTGACACTTGGGTTTTACTTTCCCATCCCCTCTTGTATGTCAGGCAATCTGCAAGCTCTTTGAAAAATACAAAGATCATGTTACCTATGGAAGAGTTATTTTTTCATTTTTTTAAAAAACTGTTACCTTACCATTTTACTTCTCTGAATGCTTACAAAAAAACAATAAAAGTATTTACTATTCATCATGAGGTCACTATTTTATTTTCACAACTTGTTTAGTGCTTTAGAAGTTTCTGGGTAGATTTTTTTTCTTTTTACCATTTTAAATGTCATAATTTTTTTAAAACAAGTATTTCTCAAAAGTTATATCCTGGGTTCTTAAAATTCCTCACCATTTTTAGTACCTATTTCCCCTAAAAAAGAACATTTTTATTCTACAGTTCACTTAGTTTTCAGCTTACCTCTGTTCCATTTATTTTCTGCATACTAAAATGGCTCAGCCTAAACAGCACATAGTATTTCCAGAGTGTGAAATTGACAACTGGATTTCCTTGAGGATCGATTGTCAACTGGTCAATACGACGGAGTTGTGCTAGTGCATTAAATTGCTGCAGCATTACAAGATTTGTTTCTCTGAATTTAAGGTGCTGCAATAATAAAACACAAAAGAAGATCTGAACATTGAGTTTACCATCCTGAAATATTAACAGTAATGCTTCCCTGATCATTCCCTAAGTAAATATGTAAACCTTAGGGTTAGCAAATGTATTTTCGATTATATTAAATTAACTGGATGTACTAAACATACATAACTTTAATTCATTCAATGCACCATTGATGGAATACATCCAATATTGAATTCTAAGTGATTTCTTTTATAAAGCACATCCTTACTTTAATAAACTAAGATTCTTTAAAGTTATATAAATATCAAATAATTCAGATTCTTTCAGGCATAACAATGATTTTATATGCTTTACACTGACATTTAAATTATTTTTAAAAAAACACTGGAAATGAAAATGTCAGAACCTTATAAATACAGGACTCACAATGCTCCTGAGAAGAACTAGTTAGTCATTGTTACTTGTAGCTTGCCAAATACTAAGTAGGCTAGTTAAACTGGCTACTGAGAAATCAAATCACTAAAACGGAAATGTTAATGTAAATGTTGTCTCTGTGAATTTGAATGCTCTTTTCTAAACACACTGTCTCCACTTCTACCGATCTTCTTTAAGGAGGATGAAATGGGAGAAAAAATACACCTCACCGTGAAATGGCAGGTAAAAGAAATCACTTGGTTAACAGAGAAAAACACAACCATAATAAAAACTCAAGAGGATCTGTTGTAGAAGTCACAGTTTCTACAAATGCATACTAGTTAATTAATATAATGCTACCATAATTGGGGAAGGCTAATTTCTCAACATAATTTTAATGAGCTACTAAAATTATTTTCAGTGCCATTGGAGGACTACTATAAAAATCATATAATAAATACACATGTCCATCAATACCAGGTACAATAAGTAAATACATAGGGGTATGTGCTGCATACAGTTGAATGCTTTATAAAGTAGAAATATGTAATTTGAATAAATTTAAATTATTTTTTTACTCCAAAGAGGATCATTTTTCAGAGATATCATTTCCAACATTAACACAAAATACAAGGCCATTTATGAATACTGATTTAAATGCCACCTCCATAAAATCAACACAAAAACTCAGTTTCCCTGCCAGACAAAAACTACATAAATAAAAGTTAAAACAGGTCTTTGGCCTGAGCACACAAGTCATGACTAAGAATAACTCAAATATACTACTAAAAGGAAATGTTTACCAGAGAATTAGGAAACTTAATCTTCAATTTGGGAAGCACTTGGACGATTTCATCAAATTCTATGAAAGTGAAGGAGACTGTTGTGACCATTCCCGCCGTTTGAGCACTCCAGTTCCGATCCAGAGATTCCAGTGCTCCTGAGCCATACAGGGAAAGTGTATCCCCATCCAGCTCAACAAGGTGTGAGTCTATGACAGATAAACCTTGTAAAGCACTGGTGAGTCCTGAGTCTAGAGACCTGGAAAACCCAAAGTATAATTTTAGATGAAAGTTTTATCATGCAAAGTAAGTAACAGGTTATAATGGCCTATTGGAAAAGCTCTTTACAATTTTATACCCATCTTTTTTATTTCAATAATTAAATCTAGGGCACCAATGACTAATTTTCAATAGATATCTGTAAATATTGTGTTACTCTAATCATATATTTTAATCTAAAAAGAAGTACATTAAAAACAGAAAAAAACCGACCTCTAAACCTAAATTATTTCTATCAATGAAAGATAACTGATATTCTATTTAGTTTTAAAACAATCCAATTAACATACCATAGGTATCTTTTCATGTCAATACAAATAGGTTTTTCCAATCAATGAAATTTTTCTGACTGAAAAAATGCAGTCAAAAATTTTCTATAATAAGAACCATACATGAGAAAAATATATTTATAAAACAAATCATAAATGTTAAAAATAGTTTATCTCTCAGCTAAAGATTGGATTAAGGGGTAACTCTATTTTTGAATACTTCAATGTTTTTTGAAATTTTGCAAGTATATGCTATAGTTATAATTAGTAAAATCAGTGAAGATTTCCTCCCCAATTTGAAATCAGAAATAAATGAAATATATATACACAAAATCACTGCATATATTCTACTGAATATTGTAATTGTTATTATTTCCAAAGTAGGAGCCACATTTTCTATAAAAGGCTACCTGAATGATAGCTAAACAATAAACGAAGTATATTGATCCAATTCAAATTTTCTGCTTTGTGAATAGAGACATAACTATTTGTTTTACTCAACCTCAAAACTTAAAACAAAGCTTGGCTTTTGTTCTATGTGTTTTCACTCTGAAATTTCTGCTTTTAGACAGTATTTATTTGCCCCTACTAAAATTAGTGTCTTTCTCTTCATGTTCCTATGGACATTTATACACTCCTTAACACATCACTTCTCATACTGTATTATAATAATTACATGTTTACAATCTTGTCTCTAATTCCAGATAGTAAGTTTCTTGAAGCTAAAGATTATATTTTTTCATTTTTTGGGACACTGAGGCCTAGTAATAAGCTTTTCACAAGGTGTATTGAATGAATTAAATTTAATGAATATTAAAGATCTTCAAAAATTTTAAATGCTGATGCTGAGGGATAAGACTGATAAACCACCACCCTGTTGGTTTATCATACTTATTTCAGGGGTACCAGTTAATCAACCCTCTACACATTTGTGAATTCAATAATAGGCTGGGTAATAACATCAGTCTACTCTAAGGGAATATGCAACCAAGAAAATATAAAAAGGATTGATTTCTATCAGATTAGTGCTTAAGACAATGATTATTATATGACAATAATCAAACATTCAATAAGTAGTAATATATGAGCAGTCTTGGATAATAATCCTAGAAAGGTAAAGGCTGATAATAAAACAAAAATAAAATAAGAATTAGTTCCATATACTGTGCTTTGTGTGATACGCTAATCTAGGTAGACCACATAATCCTTACTGGAATAGAATGGAGGATAGGAGTTAGCATTTCACAGCTGCTAAAATAAAGAAGGCTTGATGAAAAAGAGCCACGTTATACACATTTACCACTTAATACTACAATTGCCTGTTGATTGTCTGTCTCTCTTACTAAACACTATAAACCTTGAGTGCTTGAACTTTGTCATTTACTATAGTAGATCCAATATTTAGCATAGTTCCTAGCACATGCTTTGCTTTATATATATTTCTTGAATTAATTAATGAAGTGAGATAATTATGAAGTTTTTAGTACCTATTAAATCTTAAGGAGGCCATTCTAACCATAGCTGTGGTTTCAGAAAAGGGGAAGAATCAGTGATACAGACATAGAATAAGGGTAAGGAAGAAGGTTTACCCAAGTGAGGCAAAGACATATAATGCCAAAGGAAGGTAAAGGGAAAAATAAAAGCAATTTATGTAGGCATGCCTGATGGCCATGATACCTAGCCAAATAAATTTAGTTTTAATGTAAAAATGATAAGAAATCAGAATTAGGCATCAAAAACATGAATAAATCCTTTGGAAACTGATGTTGTTCCACATCATATATTTGGAAATGTGTTGCTTTTCTTTTTCCACATGATTAAAAATTTAACAAAAATTCCAAAATAAAAAGCCCACCATTAGAAAGAGATTATTTATTTATATGTAGTCTTGTCAAGCAAACTGTTGGGAAAATAAGTGAAATGATAAACTAACGTTCAGAAAAACAGTAAGATGGTAATAAAACAAAGCAGAAGTCATCTCCAACTTATATACATCTCACATGGACATTCGGTAAAAACAAATGGAAATCTGTCTGCCAGGCTGTAGACAGGCTCATCTTTTTCACTGGGAGATATAGTACCTGTTAAATAGGTCATATAATACCTAACTCATTTCAGTTATTTTCTGAATGAGGCTTTTGAGTTTAGCTTCAAACTCTGGCCAATGTTTATAAATTTGCTGTTCTGGGAAAGTGTGTTCTGATTTCCATTAAAAAAATGACTTAGAAATCTTGCTAAACATTGTGTATGTGTTGGAGATTATCCTTCCAGTTATCTTTGTATGCTTAGTAGATATGTCCATATCTTTTTAGTTATAAATACATACATATTAATTTGTTCATACATTCACAAGTCATTCTTTCATTCACTGAACAATTGCTAAAAGTCCACTATTTACAAGGCACTGTGCTAACAATTCTGGCACAGGCCACTAAATCATCTGTGCTGATAAGAACAACCAGTATTGAGACCATATGTAAGATTTTGGGTATATCAAAATTATTGATCGTCTTTACTGGACTATGGTTTCAGAAATATAACTGCTCTAATCCTACTTTGCAATCAACCTAATAAACACATAGGACATAATTTTTAAACTGAAATGACCTCAACTTCCCATTAAACAAATAGTTTTTTTCTGTGGACAGCTTATTATGTGTAAGGTATTGTGTTAGGGACATAAAAATAAATCAAGACATATTTGCCCTCAAAGAGTTCCCAATCTGGAGGGTGGGGGGATGGAAAGGAAGATAAATATATACTTCAAATGTGATACGATGTGCTTATTGTTATACAATGAGTATTTAAACCATATGCTCTGGAACACAGAGAAAGAAATGACTAATTCTTGTAGAGGGGAAAAGCTAAGTTTCAAAAGGAGGCAGTATTTGAAGTAATCCTTGAGATAAATAGCAGAATCTCATCAGGAATAGAAGGGAAAAAAACAGAATGAAGAAAGGCACAGAAGCCTGATTATGTATAACATATTCAAGTAAGAACAAATTCAATATGGCTAGAACATTGAAACATAGGACTGGAACACTGAAACATACAGGTGAGTAAGAGCTGGTGATGAGGCTGAAAAGTCAGATTTTATCCCTTAGGGCTGAGAAGTTTTTAAATGTCACTTAATTACAGTGAGAATGGCTTTTATCAAAAAGTCCCAAAACAATAAATGTTGGTGTGAATGTGGAGAGATAGGAACACTCATACACTGCTGGTAAGACTGCAAACTAGTACAACCTTTATGGAAAGTAATATGGAGATACCTCAAAGAGCCATAAGTAGAACTACCATTTGATCCAGCAATCCCATTACTGGGCATCTACCCAAAGGAAAAAAAGATATTCTATAAAAAAGACATCTGCACTAAAATGTTTATAGCAGCACAATTCACAATTGCAAAGATGTAGAAACAACTCAAGTGTCCATCAATACATACGTGGGTTAATAAAATGTGGTATATGTATACCATGGAGTACTACTCAGCCACAAAAAACAATGGTGATATAGCACTTCTTGTATTATCCTGGATAGAGCTGGAGCCCATTTTACTAAGTAAAGTATCACCAGAATGGAAAAACATGTACCACATGTACTCACCATCAAATTGGTATTAATTGATGAACACTTATGTGCACACATAGTAATAACATTCATCGGGTGTCGGGCAGGTGGAAGGGGGGCGAGAGGATGGGTATATTCAAACATAATGGGTGCTGTACACACCATCTGAGGGATGGACATGCTTGAAGCTCTGACTTATGCAGGGCATGGATCTAGGTGCTGGACTGGGAATACAAAGATGAATATGATATGCTCTCTGCTCTCAGGGACCCACTTCGGACACATAAGATTAACTTTGTGAAGAAATAGTAGGGAAAGGTTGGATGCAGGGGGTTGGCTAGAAGGCCAGTGCAACAGCATCAACTAGTCCGTATGAGGGCATAACAAAAAAATGGTATGTTGTACTGGAAATGGTATAATAAAGAAAATTAGATGGATCTTAGTTCAAATTCCAGATCTGCCATTGATAAACACGTAACTTTTTGGCAAGTTATTTAATTTCTTTGAGTTTCAGCTTCCTTGTACATAAAATGATAATCATAATACGTATCTTTTCAGAGTTGCTGTGAAGATTAGAAATAATATTCTAAACCGTGCCCCCATACTTAGCTCAATACATTTTTCCGATCATTATTAATTAAAGAGAGCATAGATTTATCAGATATTTAAGAGAAAAGGAGAATTTAGTGGTAGATTAACTATGGAGAATGAAGGAGACAGAAGAATTAAGTATGACTGAAATTTCTAGAGTGGGTGGTCATCTGGTCCAGTTTCCTACCTCTGTCTAGCCTAAATTTACACTCTATGAAAGCTGGCATTATTCTCTGGAGGATCCATGTTTTAAAATTTGTTTTCCCGTGAATTACAACACATTTCCAAATATATTCTCTAAGTCGAACATAAATTATGTTTGACTTATACAGAAGGCAGTATGACATCAAATAGGAATTCTCTTCAAGATCTTTAGTGGTTATTAATTTCAAGTCTAAATGTTCACCTATTCAATTTTATCTTTATATAACAAATCAGAAAAATATTCTATGCCTTTTCACTTAATAGACGACATTAAGAAAAAGACAGGATGATTAACTTAATGCAATAAAGTAATGAGTCTCTAAATGCCAGGTTAAATGTAGAACAAACT